CAGCTAGTAGGAAAATTTTTTACACAATAACCTTTATTACATAGCTGACTGATACTCAGAAGATTATGCTTTAAGCCTTCTACTAACAAAATATTTTCTATTAAAAAATATCAAACATTATGAATTATGCAGTATCTCTAGTCATATGCTTTGAGAAACCGCTGTCCAAGTATCATATGCTCTCATGAGGCCTTGTGTGAGAGCGATCATGTAAAAATATCAAACGTTAGACCTGGGAAACCAAACAAGTTTGGGTTCACCTTTTTATAAATTATAAACAGATGCATGTATATTATATCTAGGTTTATGCATCTTAGGTCTTCATACCAAATGAGTTTTCTTATCTAATGTATAGGTGTATACTATATGTCCAAATAATCCACAATTAAAGCATTTGATTTCAGGAAATGGGTTTCTTAATTTTTTATAGTTTTTCTATCTATTCATGGATTGCATAAATTTAGGATACAAAATAGGATTAGTAAAATATTCAAGTCTTGGGGGTATCCTATTATCCTCGAGAGCTTTTATCTTTAGTTTATAAAATGAATTCATATCTTCAAATATACGATTTGTATAATTTATCCGATAAATTTTGCTCTCAGATTCATCCTTAAAATCTTTAAATTCTTTTTCAAATTCTGCATAGGATGATTTTAAATTTTCATGGTTCTTATTCAAATCATCAAACTCATCAAGTAATTTCATATGGTTGTTATCAATTAAAGCATGATCTTTTCTAAGGATCTCTTATTCTCTTTGCAGTTCATGTAACACTAAGTTCAGACTAGCATGCATTTTCTTTAACTTTCTATATGTAACATGTATGTATTCAGAAACTTCTAAAAGTTTATTTTAAGTCAAGTCACATACCTCTTCTTGATCTGACTAATCAAGATTATCGGCCATCAGGCATAGATTGGTGACTTCTTCTTCCTTTTCAATTTCTAACGAGTCTGAAGCTGAGTCCGCCTAGAAAGCTTTTTAGAATTTCTTCTTGCCCTTCTTTACTATTGGTTTCTCCTCTACCTTCTCCTTGATAGGAGTGGCTTTGAGTTTTGGGCAGTCTAATTTAATGTGTCCAGGTTTCCTGCACTCATAGTAGATAATATCATTTGAAACCTTAACATTCCTATTGAACTTACCTCAATTCCATTGCTAGCGTCTCTTTTGCTTCCTCGTCAGAAAGCTTCTGAACTGTCTAGTCGTTAGTGCAATGTCATCTTCATCCTCAGGTTGTGATAGATCACTCTCTGACTCCTCCACTTTCAGTGCAATATTCTTCTCTCTTCGTGGTTCACCTGCATCAATCTTTCTTTGACTCACTCCTTGATCGTAAGCAATTAGTGATCCGAGAAGATTGTCAATAAAGTAAACATTTAAACCTTTAGACTCTATAATCATAGTTATTTTAGCATCATATATAGTAGGCAAACAACAAAGTATCTTATTAACCATTTCAATGTTCGTTAATTTCCTACCCAATGCATGTAAAGATGTGACTATTTGAGAGAATCTTGTGTACATGTCAGAAATGGATTCATTAGGTTTCATACGAAGTAATTTATAGTCATGCAACATGATATTAAGTCTGGATTATTTAACTTTATTAGTCCCTTCATATGTTATACAAAGTCTATCCCATATATCCTTTTCATTCTTGCAAGTAAAAACCCACATGTAATCTGTTGATTTAAGTGCATAAAAGAAATTATTTAAATATTTAGCATTTAGTTGTGTTAAATCACGTTCTTCTACTGTCCAGTCCACAAAGGGTGTTTTTACTCTAATGCCATTAACTAGTCTAGTTGATTTTGTATACCCTTCATGTACTAAAATCTACATGCGATAATCAAGTGACTGTAAAAATGTAGACATGAATGTTTTCCAAAAATGAAAAGGGATATTATCAAACAAAGGATGTCTTGTGATCGAATATCCTTCAAGTGTATTTCGGTTTCTAAATGTAGCCATGGCCTTTAATCAAAAAATAGTTTAAACTTATAATTTTGAAACTATGCTATGATACCACTTGTTAAAACTTGTTAATTATGAATTAGGTTGTTAGACCTAAGCTTATGTCCCAAAAGGCTAACTAGGAGAGGGGGGGGGGGTCCAAGTGTTGGTAGAGAACCGTCGGCTGTTCACACTCTTCAAGTGTAGGTAGAGAACCTTAGTCCTTTCACACTCTCCAAGTGTAGGCAGAGAACCCTTTGGATGTTCACACTCTCCAAGTGTAGACAGAGAACCTTTGGGCTGTTCACACTCCTCGAGTGTAGACAGAGAACTGGATCTCCTTGAAAGATCTTGTCACAAGAAATCTATAAGGACAAGAGAAAAGAGTGAAGTAATCACAATTCAAAAATGAAGATCCTTACCTTTGAGTAATCAAGTGAACCCTTTACGCTTCAGTAGTAAGAACTTTCCTTAAAACACTCTCTCTCACTCTCTCCTTAAATCTCCCTTCAGTATGCATGAAGACTAATAAACAAAAAGATTGCTTGATAGTTTTAAGTGTCCCTTTTATAAGAAAGACACGAAAATCATTCAAAAATTATAAAATTTCAATTCTGTACGTTCATGCTTGTCCAGTATGATCCAATTTCGTACGTACGAACAGTGTAAAAACTATTGCGTACGACCTCAATGTGCACTGGTACAAACTGCCTTCATACCCAATCATCATCCCGTACGATCACGGTTCATCCGGTATGAACTGTTATTCACAATGTTTATTGGGATGAAAATGCAGGACATATCACAAGTTATAAGAATAGAGCACATCATCCAAGGACAAAGATGTTAATTCGTTTAGATAAATAGTTCAAAATAAGATTCCAGAGGACATCGTCCTGTGACGAACAGGATAATTTGTCTAGACGAATAGTTCAAAGTGAGATTCCATAGGACATCTTCCAGGGGCAAACAAGATAATTTGTCTGGACGAATAGTTCAAAGTGAGATTCTAGAGGACATCATCCAGGTATGAATAGGATAATTCATCTGGATGAAGAGTTCAAAATGTGATTCGAAAGGACATCGTCCTGAGGGAATAGGATAATTTGTCTAGACGAATAGTTCAAAAAGAGATTCTAGAGGACATCGTCCTATGACGAACAAGTTATATTGTCTGGAGGATTAAGACTTAGAAAATTTTTTTACACCCTCTATTCATTCCATTGCTCTTTGAGGAGTATAACTGAGCTGATCATCCCATACGAACATGGTTCGTCCTATATGATTAGTATATTAAAATTGTGAATTTTAAAGATCTCCCACGGTGTGTATGTGTGTGCTAAGTTACTTCATTATAATCACACTCTCTCAGACTCAAGTAAAAGAAAAATACATACTCCAAGTTATAAAATATTATAAGCAGATCTTGATTTGAAGTCTTCAATAATCTGGAGTATGATTTTCCTAAAAAGTTAGTACACATAAGAGCAAAAGTAATTCTTCCAAAATGTGTTAGGAGAATATAATAATCAAAACAATAATATTTGAAATCATCAAAACATACAAGTTGCAAGAATGTAAATCTTACAAAGCTAAGTATCAACTTTCTTAACAGGCACCGCAGTGCTAGTTCTTAAATTTATAATTTTTGCTCCTTTTCCTAAGACATTCATTTACAACATCAACAAAAATACACATCTTTAATAGAATTTATCACAATAAAAGTGCATTATAATTTTTGCTTAATAGATAACTAATCCAGGATTCTTAGAGCCTCAAAGCTCTCTTAAATCTTAAGAGATAGTTCAAGGTCCAGTTTCAAGATCCTCCTCTAAGCTCCTCACCTATATAGAAAGTGGGGTCTATATTTAGATTTTGGGGAGTGATATGTTCATAAATATAGTCAAAATTTAGAACACTTTATCGGATGGAGAAATTATTACGTGCGGAGTCCACACATAGTTTGCGTCTGGACTCAAATTAGAATAAGCCAAGCCAGCCTGTACACAACCTATATAAATTTTACACACAGTATGTGTATAAATTATACATAGTGTATGTGTGATGTGGCCTATTCTTATTAAAGTCTGGATGTCATCTGGACTCTGCATGTAATAATTTCTCCATCGGATGACCCATATTGATCCGCTTAATCATAAAGAGTTTGTAAAATATTTAAGTGCCTTAATGTTATTATATTTAGGTTATCTTAGATTTATTAGATTTGTCTCATCGAGCCAGTAGATTTAACTATAAGCATATAAAATTTTGATATAATTTGATTATCTAATTAATGTTTTGAAGTTTCTAATTAAGTTTCAAGCCCTTGATTTGAGCTCATTTGGGTTTGGATTGGATGAGTTTTTGTATCATTGAGTTTGTTGTGTCGAGACATTCAGTTTGCTAAAAAATAGTATTAATTTTAATGGCTTGAATTTTATTATTTTTGGAAATTTTGAACTCAAACATGCCTTGATTTTCATACCCAACCATGGATATTTTGGTGGCAATGTATCTAACTTTGGAGAAAAGAAGCAATATTTATATTTTGAAATTAAATATGTATTTAAAAATATTTTAAAAATTACCCAATTCAACACCGTCAAACCTCTTGGTTGTGGCATAATCTTCATAGTTAAATTTATTTTTACCAAAATATATCAAAGAGGGTTTGATCACAACCAAAGATCATTATAAATAGCTACGAAGACTTAAACTCTTAGAAAATAAATTATAAAACTACATGAGAAGTAATGAAATGCAATAAGCCGAGGAATAAAATAAATTAAAACAAATCAAGAAAATAAGACGCAACAAAGAATAATCTTATCAAAAGAGTATATATATATATATAAAGAGAGAGAGAGAGAGAGAGAGAGAGAGAGGGAAGAATCGCCAAATTTATCTCACAAATAATAATGTACTCAACATAAACTCTTATAGCAAACATCTCATGTATTTATAGTTTCATACAAAACCCACAAAATATAGAAATATTTCCACAAATGAAAACATTATTCTTATTAAAAGCGTGCACTATTAATCTATAATACTCGAACATTTTTAGGCATAACTTGGATGTGATAGCCATCAGGAAACTCTAAACTAGGAGAGCATACTATATTTCCACCTTTAACATCCTTCCACCTAAGCATATTAAAACAACAAAGTAGTTAATTAACAACATGATGGAGCTAATAATAATAGGGGTAATGCTACTGCTTTATCAAAGAAATCACTTGCACTTAGTAACAAAGTAATGGAGAAAAATAGCCATCTCCATTTTGCTAAATTCAGCACCAACACAATACCTAATCCCTCCACCAAAAACTAAGTAGTTCTTCTCTCCGCAATTTGATTCAGGTTTTCCCTAAAATTCAAACCAATTAATCATTCAGTTAGATCATAGTTAAATCATGTAAACATCCAATGGAGTCTTATCCATTAGTGGAGAGATTATTACGTGTGGAGTCCAGACCCAAAAAATTGTTCGGTTTTGTGACTATGAACAGTAATTGTACTTTTACTATTTAAAGTCACACTACCGAAGGGTTCTCTGGGTCCAGACTCCGCACATAAAAATCTCTCCCATTTGGGACTTATTCAATGAAAATTGCAAGTCTATTCATCACCTTCCATCTACTAGGATTGAAGGTTAGTGGATGCGGTATGTGAGGATTTAAGTGTGTTGCTGGTTGATAAATCATGACAATCCAATCTTTTGGAATTATATTATCCTGGATTGTAGGATTATCACAAACTAAAAAAGAATAGTAGTCAATAACAAACATGGTATACGACAAAGAAAAAAAATAATTTATTTATTTATTTTGATGGCTAAATTTTTACCATTTATTACAAAATCCTTGGTAGTTTTACAAAAACTTGCGGGTACAATATTTGCTAGCCTTCCTGCCTCTTTGATAGCCTGTAAATATGATTAAAATCAATGAGAGAGAGAGAGAGAGAGAATATATTTATATAAATTTATACAACTATCGTCCATCAAATAGAATCAGGAAAACTTAATTAGCCCACCTATTGCGTGAAGCTCATTGATTTGTATTCTTCCCATGAGATTTGGGAGTGCGATTCGTCCCGATTTTTAAGAACTTGTTCATGCTCATCCTATGATTTAATCATTCATCATATATATATATATATATATATTACGTATTAATAGCTAAAATAAACTAAATAGTATGGACTAATATGTAAATATTCAGCTCATGAGTAGGAAAACTAACGGTTAGATCTTTCAAAATTTTTGGATCCTCACTGAGAAACTTAGTAGCAAGAGAAATTGTTTGAGAACTTGACACAAAGCTTGCAATTAGAAGAACAAATATTAAATTTAAAGCTGATTTCTCTGTTAACATGGAGTTTTCTTTCCCGAGTTCGTCAACTAAAAGATCGAGAAAATCCTTGCTTTCTTTTCTTGGTGATTTCATCCTCTCTGAAAGTAAAGTTTTCAGCAAATTCATCACAATCTTCCGCCCCTGTGTACATTAATATAAACTAACATCAAGGATAATATACTAAAACATATAATTGTCAGATAAAAAAGTTAGTAACTAGCTTGCCTGCAAACTCCTATGATAAGCAGTTCCAGGAAAGTTAAATGGAAAGGAGAACACTGAGCTTATAAAAACTTTAAGATATCTCATTAAGTCTATTGTTGTTGTTGAAGGATCATAGCTTATCAAAGTCTTGGCTATGACATCGAAGAAAAGCTACAAATACATTGACCATTGAGTTAAGAAAAATGAAGAACATAAAGCGTCGAAACATAGCTAAATTATTTTTCATCAACTTACAGTTGAGATTGAATCTTTGAGGTCAATTATGGATTCTTTAGCAGACCACAAACAGAGACGCTTACGAATTTCTTCATCCATATTACACAGGAGTTTCTCCTTGAGGTTCTCAGGACCCAAAACCTTAACGATTATGCTCTTCAGGTACCTTGACTTAGCATCTTTCTGGTCATTAATATCTTCTAAGCCGAATAACTCAATGAAAGTTTTTGGGTAGAAACTCTTAAATATTTTCCCCTCTTGTTCAAGTACAAAATAGTTGAGCTCTAGGTCAGTAGAAACAGCAAATTGCATGCCGAATAAACTTGTCTTAAAGACCAGACCAAATCTGCTATGTCAAAATATTTTAAAATAATTTAAACTATTTTGAAGCCCACTCCAATAAAATTTGTATCTAATTACATTATTACATATTACATTATTACATCTCGGATTTCTCCATTGATTCCAATGAATCAACCAAACAAGGAGAAGAGTTACTGCACATAAGAAGCTGGCGAAAAACATATTATCTCCCCCTTTGAATTGATGAGAGTTCAGGAGCTGGATTATATAAAATGGTAAGAGAATGTAGTTTTATTTTTCAATGACCATATGTAATGATATAATTGCACATTGTTTGACAATAACGATAAAAATACAAAAGATCAGTGCCTGGTCGTAGTAACCAATGTTGGTATGCATAAAAAACATTCCACCTTCATGAATAAACAATATGTGGACTTTAATGATCTTCAACTATCAGCCAAAATTTTTTTTTTTTTTTGAAGAAAAATGTCTAACAAATAACATCAAATAATTTAAAATAAAACCTTTGACTTAATTGATAGTGATATAATAGGAAACAAAATGAACTGACAAATTCCTTTGCAAGTTACAAATGCATCCGCCACAGAATTGCTTCCATAGGGGATTTATATATAATTACATTAGAAATTTGCTCGAGCAAGTGATTTATGTACTGATGGTACTTTAGGAGTATTGGATTCCAAAACTTATATATTTCTGCAATCTTGTAGAGAACCAACAAATAACACCAAAGGTTTTAGTTTCTTTTATGTCCATCAGTATTGCATCTTTTAAACTAGTTATCAAAGCTTCATACTCAGCCTCTTTATTTTTGCAAGGCTCTGATAAATCATAAAAAATGTATCATTCCCCTATATGGTGTTATGAAAATTATGTCAATTTTAACTTTTTCGGGAATAGAATATTTATGTGCATTGCCTCATTGGGAGGATGCTGCTCCATCAAAATACAATTCGTAAAACACGCTTATTAGATTCCTCAAAACTCTTGATTTATACATCTTTTCTAATTAATTTAAATTTAAATAAACATGATAAATTAAAATTTAAAATAAAAAATTAAATTTATATCCTATTGATTAATTTAAAATTAAATTTAAAAAAATAAAATAAGAATAACAATAGAATTTATATATCACCAATGAGTTATCTTAATCAAGCATGAATCTCGAGGCAAACTCATGGTTGAAACTTCAAAAATTAAATTCGGGACCATCTGTAATCTGATTTTAGCAAACTTATAGTATAAATGAACATCTCAAAAATACAAACTCAATGACAACAAATTCTACTCACTCCGAGCCCAAATGAGTCCAAATCAAAGACCCAAAGCATATTTGAAAGGCTCAAACCATAATTTGGATTAATAAATAGTTTCCAAACTTAATATACATATAATCTAATCAAGCGGCTCAATGAGACAAATCCAATGAGTCGAGAATCAATAAATTTTGATTTCATTAAGACATTGAAATATCCAGTAAATGACCCATGATCAAGGGAATCAACATCAGCCTTCCCTTCAAACCACTCCTAATTTACACTTGATCTTTCTCCTATTTATTAGTCATTCCACTCTCATAAATCTATAAATAGACCCTCACTTCTCATGAAAGGGGACCCCAAGCAAGGATGCAAGATGATAGATCAGAGATTGTCCTTGCCACTCCTTGACCACCACAAAAATCCTGTTGGACCATCGACTAACGCCGGATTTCCTCTGGACCACTGACTAATGCCCAAACTTCTGCCGGACCACCATTTGACATTGCACTTTCGCAGGACCACCAACTGATGCCTAGACTTTTGCCAAACCACCGACTGATGCCCGCACTTCCACTGGACCTCTGACTAATGCTAAGACTTCTATCGGACCACCGACTGACGTCGAACTTTTGACATACCATCGAATGATGCCCAAACTTATACGAGACCACTGACTGAATTTGATCTTCCATCGGACCACCAACTGACGTTAGACTTCTGTAGGAATGCTGACAAATGCTCAAACTTCCATTAGACCACCAACTTACGCTAGTCTTTTGCCCGACCGAACATCATCAGACCTTGAGCTTACCTCTATTTGTCACTAGATTTCAATAAAATATTTAATTATTGTAATCTGATCATCTTCAAGGATGATTCAGTCAACTGTAATCTAATCAAACACTAGTATAATCATTTCAATTGGGCGTGACCCATAGTTTTTCCCCTTTTCAGGGTTTTCCATGTAAAAAATCTTTTGTTCTCTATTTGTGTGTTAGACATTTATACAACATTGAGATATAAAATTCTAACTCTATCACCACATATATTCTAGCATGTAATAGTTTGATGCCATCTATGGGAAACTCCAACCCACTATCCTAAGCACCACTTCTATGGACAACAGGCATAACAATGACATCTTGGAAGCCTCCCTCTTAAACTCACAATAATACAAGAATCAACCCATGAACTAGGGATGTAAGGCGTCTGCCTCTTTTCACCATGGTGGATGAAATCCTATCGGGTAAGGGACATCAAGACCATCCCTATAAGATCAAATCCAAAAGATAGAAGAATCTCATAATGAGATCCTTTAACTCATGAGGGAGACTTGAAAATCGATGTTAGCACCATATGAAGATATTCTTCTCCCTTGAGATCCATCGCTAGCCAAGGGTGTTTGATCTGAATGTCATCTTAAAGATATCCATCTTCCCTAGTCAGGGATGCATCCTTCATCACGTCAAGACAATGAACTTACTGACATAGGAAGCTCTACTCATCCTTTGTGCGTAGGTTGAAAACCTCGCATTCCTCCAGAGGTCCATGAGTACTTAACCCGACCACACATTATTGAGCTCCCTCGCAACGCTATACAGCATAAACTATAAAAATTTATCTGAGAAGAGTTTCCCATGGGATGTTTAAGATAATCACTTTGTTAGTGGGACTTCTAGGAGTTATCACCCCTGACAGAAGCCATCCTTCAACACCCCATTCTTGTAGGATTTAAATTATCGAGCATCAATTCCTACGATAGGACATCTACCCGTACGAGCATATCGATCACTATAATACTATAATGCATATCCAGCGAGCCTCAAATGTACTTCTCTACTAGATTTTGACTTCCACCCTCAAAGGGAAATCTAGAACATAATTCTATTTGCTTCCAATCAGACCAATTCCTATGTTCATCAAATTGGCCTAAGTGTCCGTCGAATAATTTGTTGCAAATTAGAGAATAGTTAAAGATTCTTCCCTCATCTCAGGAATACACTAGAGTGAATGTGAGTCAGTCAAAGAATACTTTCAAAGATCTTCTACTAAAGCTTGACAAACTTGAGGGGTGGATCATGAATTGCTGAAAGGAGTTTTTCTTAGAAGGCTTCATCCCAAACCCTTTTGCTCAACACTCATGCGAGACACATTTCATTTATATACTGACCTGATCCATTATGTAGAGGCACAAATCTCTACTAATAAATCCTTAATGTTCATAAAAAGCAGTTTGAGAAAACAAACAGAAAGCAAAAAAGTGCATCAAGGATGGATAATCCATCCTCACAGTGAAAGAAGCAAGGAAATTCTAACTTTCCCCCTCAACCCTCACAACCGTGATGAGAGACTCATCAACAAAAGAAGTATATGCCACTTAACATATTTCAAGAAAATATATTGATAGTTATTTGAGATCATAAGAATATTAAGTGGTCGAATCCTTTGAAGTCCAATGTTAGAAATCATGAGTAATATTATCACTTCCACCATATCCATGGAAACACTACTAAAGCATGGAGATAACTCAAGGATGAAATTGAGAGGCTAATTCGATAAGGATGTCTCCAATAGTTCATTCAAAACCCACATACAAATAATAAGGTTGGTCTTGCTGGGGGTAAATTCAACAGCAAAAGCAACCGTTGAATAATTTCCAAATAATTAGTGAAATTAAAACCATTTCTAGGGGTCCATCATTACCTAATCAAGGCTCAATTATAGGAAGAACGGAGCCAACACCAAATATGTCTCGCACTGATCACTACATTAATTTTGATGGGTCTGATTTAGAGTAAATAAAAAAGCCTCATCCAAGACCCACTTGTGATTAGTGCGGGGATTTATGACTCATTCTACAATGTCAAGAAGATCTTGGTCGACAATGGGAGCTTATTGGATGTCTTATTTTACTCCATCTTTCTCAATATGAGCCTAGCTAGAGAAAAACTCTAGCTTGACTTGTAGAGGTGGAAGGAACAATCAATTTCCTAATTGTACTTAGAGAATTTTTCAGACAAGCTAGATATTCTATCTAATTCATTATGGTAAAGTCATAATAAGAATATAACACTACCTTTGGAAGGCTACTCCAATTATTCTTTGGGATTATTGCCTCCATCCCTCACCTTAAACTAAAGCTTCTCACTTTGATGGAGGTCGATATAGTATATGGAGATCAACAAGTAGTGCAATCCTTCTATCTTAGGCAGGTTCAACCACACCCATTAGTTACCCTAAGCATCGAGGATTTCAATCTCAGGAATGAGGATATCCCTCAACGGGCTTCTCCTATAGAAGACCTTACTTTCATATCGATATCAGAAGAATACCCTTCAAGGATAGTGGAAATTGTATCTCTTCTCTCAAATGAAGAAAAGAAAATATACGTAGATTTTCTACATACAAACCCATATGTGTTTGCATAGAGTCCATTCGATATGCTTCGAATTAACATTGAAGTAATCATGCACTCCCTCAAAGTCAACCCAACATGCAAGCTAGTAATCCAAAAGAAATAGAATTTTGCGCCACATCTCCAACAAGCAATCAAGAAGGAACTTGATAAGTCTTGGAAGATGGATTTATACGAGAGGTACACTATTCCCCATGGCTAGCAAGTGTCTTCATGGTTAAGAATCTATCAGAGTTTGAAGGATGTGTGTTGACTATATGGACCTTAATAAAGCTTACTTGAAGGATTATTTTATGTTCCCTTAT